GAAACGTTTTATAAAACTAGTTAATACGTAACAATATATGGAATTTAATTTACAGTAATCATTACATAAAAGTGTCAATCTATTTAAATTAGAAATTACGGCTACAATCCACGGTTCACATTGATGTTTTATATTATTTTGACTCGGAAATCCATAAAAAGTACAACTACTTTTACGCAGCAGTTTGCGTAGCCACAAATATTACCTACTATCGTTTTGAACAATTATAATATACAGTGAACGGCTAAATTATGGAATATTATCATTATTTCGAGAACCGTCGAGTTTTGAGGGAACTCCCGAAACAGGTCGATTTTTCGTTTTTTTTATAACGCCACCGAGGTGCAGTGACATGACATTGACATTAATTGTTTTAAATATTAATTGGTATAATGCAACACCTCGTTTGAAAGAGAATTTAATTCTCTATTTAACGACATTACATTTTTAACTAAAATATTTTTTTAAGGCGACAAAAACAATTTTTTTAAATTTAAATTTAACTAAATTACAACTAATGATTTAATTCATAATGTACTTTAAAGTAACCAAATTGTGCATAACAATTAATGTAAATTAAATGTTCGAAATGCCATCCATCGGTTCCTGCCATGACTTTCTGAATTAAATACTTAAAAAAGCAAAAATAAGTAAAAATAATAATGGACACAAAAAGTTATCTTATAACACTGAAATTTTTTGTCAAATGTTAATTCAAGCAAGTGATAGTGGCATAGTTACTATAATATTGATTGACGTAAAAGTTTTGAATTTGTGAATTGTCATCAGCTGTCAATTGTAATTTTTACTTTTGAATACTAAATTATGGCTTACCTAATTGAAACACAACGCATAGAAATATTAATTCTTAGCAGATGCGGAGATAAAAAAGAACACAGAACGAGGTATGCAATTTATTCAACGCAAAATATCCAGACAGACAAATCAGCCAATCAACAGCAAGTAATAGTCCGAAAATTTGGAGAACCTGGGCACGTTACACATATTCCAAACGCTGGGCGTCCTAATATTGAAGACAATGTGAAACTTGATATTTTATTAAATGTACATGACAAGCCTCACAGTAGTTCAACACAAATGGGTGAATATGCTGGAGTTTCCCAACGATCGGTATTACGTATTTAAAAAAAAAAGAAAAATACCATCCCTACAAAATTCAACTACATCAGGAATTAAACGACGACCATCCTGATCGCCGGCTTCAATTTTCTGAAATTATGCAGGATTTATGTATCCGCAATCCACATTTCATCAATCAAATCCCTTTTTCCGATGAAGCCACATTTTTTATAAATGGCATCGTGAATCCTCAAAATTGCAGATATTGGGGTCAAGAAAACCCACATTGGATGACTGAGTCACACACGCAATATACTCAGAAAGTAAATGTATGGGCAGGGATCATTAATGACATAATCATTGGCCCCTTTTTCATTGAAGAAAATCTAACAGGAGAACGTTATTTAACTTTTTTGAGAAATCAACTTATACCTGTCCCTGCTAACATGTATCCAAATACCAATAATCCAAATTTACCTAGTGCAAATATCTGGTTTCAACAATATGGAGCCCCTTCGTATTACGCAAGTAAAGTACGTCAATTTTTAAATCAATGCTTTCACAGGAGGTGGATCGGAAGACTAGGTTTTATAGAGTGGCAAGCAAGGTCGTCAAATCTAATACCTCTAGACTGTTTCCTGTGGGGTTACATAAAATCAAAAGTTTATGTCAATAGACCCCAAAACTTACAGGAATTGAAAGATAGAATTAGGCATGAAATGAGTTTAATTACTCCAGAAGTCATCCGCAATGTACTTGATGAATGTGGACGAAAACGCAGCGTGCCTAAATGGTTGAGGCGTATTTTAAAGCCAACGATTCCTATACAGTTGCTCGACGGCGTTTTTGTGTACGGTAGAATATTAGACGCGTGGGTGATGCACCAGCCGCGATACTAGTGCACGCATGGGTAAAGAAATTGAGAGAAGAAGAAGTTGTTACAAATGTGAAACATCCAGGCAAACCAAAAACTATTCGAACTTCTGTCAATGTTGCAAGAGTTCGACGTGCTGTAAATGGTAATCCTCGGCGTTCCTTCGCAAACATGCACAAGCGCTAAATTTTATCTCGTGCTAGTATCCAGTGTATTTTAAAGAAGGATTAATCCAGACAATACACGGTTCTAGCAAGACGGTGCTACGCCACACAGCGAGCACTTCAATAAACGCCCTAACAGAAATGTTTCCAGGCACCACTGATTTCACAAAATGGTGATATTCGTTTTCCCCCAAGGTCTCCTGACCTTAAGATTTTTTTCTGTGGGGGGTATTTAAAGCAAATCGTCTACGTCAATCCACCAGCGACAATCAAAGAGCTGAAGCAAAATATTCGTAACGCTATTAACAACATTCCAGTGAATATGTGTGAGAGCGTCTTTCTCAATTTGCGATCCAGATTGCAAGAGTGCTACGAGCGAGATGGTCAACATATAACCGACGTGTTATTTAAGAAATAAAATCCGCATGTTCTGTGTGTCCATTTTCGCAATAAATGTTTATATATATATATATATATATATATATATATATATATATATGTATATATATATTATATATATATATATATATATATAATAGATATACAAGAAATTAGCATAGTAATATTATGATGTTTAATTAATAAACTTACTTAAATAGTGGTTAAAGAAATAATTTATAAGTTATATACTAGCGAATATTATAAAAAAATAATTATGAGGGTACTTTTGAAAATTTAGCATAGGATTAAGTTTAAAAAGTTTTTTATTTTATTTTATAAATAAATATATTTAAGTGAGCCATGTGCATAGGCAACCAAATATACACTGTGTTATTTGACATTTGTTTGGTTGCGGATGTGAAGTGGGGTTATTTATTAGTTGGGATGTTTAATTTAAATATAATTACGGATGTAAAATAGTGATAATGTATTAGTTTAAGATATTTAGTTTATATAATAGTGTATTCTGATCTGATAAGCCTATATGTCCATAAGATTCTCACTAGAATTTTCTGGAAAACGTCAAAATACAAGGCAGTTAGCCCTATTTGCATAGTCGATTATTCCAGAACTTTCATATATGGATGAGATGAAGTGTTTCGAACATGGTTTATTGCTAGAACTGTCTAGAAGGATAAAATCATATAAATACGAGGTAATTTGGAGCAGGCAGGCATTAAGTTGCAGTTACTAAGTCAGTTACAGTCAATTATTAAGTTAGTAGAAGGCATTAAGTAAGATGAATTCAGTCAGTCAGTTACAATTGATTAAGTTAGAAGAATTCATGAGGTGATTAAGTTAGAAGAATTCATGAAGTGATAAAGTTAAATTAAGTTAGAAGAATTCATGAAGTGATTAAGTTAAATTAAGTTAGAAAAAAGTAAGTGAGATGAACTCAGTCAGTCAGTTACAATTAAGTCATTAAATTAGATTTATCAAGAAAGTTAGTTCAAGACAGTTATAATTAAATTAAGTTAGAAGAAAGGATTAACTTAGAAGAATTCATTAAGTCAGATAGAGTTGGAGAGTATGAGAGTAAATTAATTCAATATAGATAGTTCAATACAGGAGTATAGTATATTATATGGAAATTACAAGAATTTTAAATTATAATATCTATATGCAATTTCACAAATACAAGGATAACCGAGGCTGATTAAGAAGATATTTAGTGGTGATTATAACTTTGATTTTGGAAAACTTTAGGCATTCAGTGATAGAAAGGTACCAAATTTTGTTAATATAATTTAATAGTTGTAAGAATTTCAAATTTTATATAGGTTGTTTTAAATTTATATTGTTTATATTAGATATATAGGTCTGTTTCGTAATAGTTATAATAAAGATAATTTAAAAAGTACTTACAAACTAATTCTTTGAGAACCGCGATAAAAACCCTATACTCATATATTTGTTTTAAGCACTCATTGCTCATATACAAACAAAACATCATAACAATATATATATATATATATATATTATATATATATATATATATATATATATATATATATATATATATATATAGGTATCTCGTGAACACCATGGTCTTCATTGGGGATTTGGTCTTTTACGGATCTGACGAGATTGGACAACTTGGAGTGAGCAGTGAAGATGATTTTGATGTTTAGAGGAAGAAGAGTTCTACTGATCTTGTCAGTGACACCTTTAATAAAAGGTAGAAAGATTTTGGGTCGTTCCGGTGGCAAGGTTTCTTTTTTGGATGGAACGGGGTTTAGATGTTTTTGAATGCTCTTATTGATTTGGGTTTTGTGGTAGCCGTTTTGTAAGAGTGTTTGCTTTATTGAATTGATTTCGGATGACCTATGATTGTTGTCGCTAAGTCTTATGGAACGAGAAATGAGGTGATGACAAGTGAATTGAGTTGGGCGGGCTGATGATGTGACTGGGCATTAAGATATTAGTTTGTATAAGTGGTTTTCCGGTACACGGAATAGGAAAAACTGTGAGGTAAGTTTTTCTTAATAAGGTCATCAAAGAATGGAAAAGACGCTTCAGACTCAACTTCCATCGTGAATTGAATACCAGGATGTATTCCCTTCGGGTGGCAGAGGAAGAGATCTAACGTGTCTTTACCATGAGGCCAAATGACAAAAGTGTCATAAACATACCGTAACCAGCAGGTGGGTTTGAGATTTGATAAGGACAGGGCTGCTGTTTCGAAATGTTCCATGAAAATATCAGCTATTATATATATATATATATATATATATATATATATATATATTATATATATATATATTATATATATTTGTATACATATACAATCGTAAATATACATTGTATATTTACGATTTTTAGATTCTCTACGATTTAAAAAATATAGATATATGTATTACTTTGTCAAGTGAAGCCTATGAATTTTTCGTTCACCGTTTGGGCCATATATTTTAATTATATTTCACATGCTATATACTTACTTGAACTTCTCCAAAAACTTATGGTCTTTAAGTGCCGATTTAGAAACCTGAATAGCCTCTTTGAATTTAGATTCATATAGGTAGAGTCTGATTACCTCCTCTACCTTATCTAGAGCAATCTTATTTTGTTCTTCATTTTCGTCATCGTTTTCTGTTCCAAACATATAAATCATTAAGCAAAAATTTAAACAATTTATTAAACATACAAAGTTTAAAAAATAAGCTCCATATTATTACTTTTCTTTTAAAAAGATTAAAACTAAAACTGACGCAAATATGTACATTGAATACTGAGCATATTAATTTAGTGAAAATATATGATACTTTACATTTTTCTATAAAAGTTCGAATGAAGTGTACAAATATTTTTAAAAAATTGTAACTATGTTTCTTGTTATTTCAATATTGTACAAATACGAACATTTTTAATAATCTAGAAGCAATAATTGTATTAAAGCTTTGATCCACAATAAAAGTGTTTTAAAATCTATACACGAAGTACGTATTTTTGCTTCGAATTAACGGACTTATCGACCGGCAAAACGATCGGAAGTTCAATAATTTAGTTATGTCTTTTATCGAAGATTTTATCTGTTATTCATCTAGTTTCATTATCAGGATCTGATGAATCAATGTCACCAAAAAGATGAATTCTTTGAGTAAATAAGATTTTTTTTTTAAATATTTAGTCTCGTTTACGTTTTTATTTATTTTTTACTGAAATTGAAAAACACTTCTACATTAGAGCTGATTTTTTTAAGAGTCCAATCAAGTTATGAATTAAATTATAAAACCGTCGTACAGGGACGACCAAAACACATTAAATTTCACTCAATTTTAAATGACAACCATTTAATGCAAACATTAATTTCGAGTTTACTGTAAAAAAATACCAATTTTTTTATTTCATAATTCTATTATGCGTGTAAAATAATAAAAAAAATAATTTTAAGGGGTGTAATAATTGTATTTTTCGTGACAGGGGCGTGGTAAAAATATATATAATTGTTTTTAGTATATCAGTATAGTAAGGTATAAATAAAACAAATCAAAAAACGGATCAGAAAAGGTCATAAAACGTTTGAATAATGAAAATAAATTAAACTGCAAATTTAATACAAAAATAGAAAAACAAATAGACTAAATGTAAACTGTGAAAAGGACAAAAAAAAGTAATTATAATTCTTAGAAACATATATCAATAAAAAAAAATAAATAATAATAAAAATAAATAATAATAATAACCATAAAGTAAAGGAAAGATGTTTTCCGAGAATGAGAGTTTCCTACTTGCCATTCAGGATCAGGTTGTTCCAACTAAAAATTACCTGAAATATTTTGTTAAAGATCCTCAAGTTCAAAATGACAAATGCCAAGGCCAAGAAACCATCCAAGATCTTACCGGGGGCTACCAGGCGTTTGTCGGTAGTGATTATAAAGAACACCATGACTCAGTAGGAAAGATTATCCACCAAGAACTAGCTAAGAAACTTGCACTTCTCCAAATCGAGTATCTTCCTTATTATCAATACGCCCCTGACAGAATGCTTGAAAATGACAACTACAAGCTATAATTGGAGCGCACTGTGCTCTTAGACCAATCTATGGAACATATTAGAATGGATCTCATACTAGTTAATAAACTTACTAGGCAAACAACACTTATTGATGTGGCGATACCTACACCAATAATCTGCTACATAATTTAATTCATAATTTGCGTGTTAAATACAACGAAAAGATCGGTAAGTACAGAGATCTAGAAATACAAATCAGGAGATAATGGAGAATGTAAAGTATCCAGACAGTACCTATTATTCTATCTACTACTGGTGTGATTCCGAAAAACCTCATAGAGAACATAAAACAGCTGCAGAAAGACCTAAAGACCATGCAGAAAGCTGTACTCGCGACGTCTAGATGTGTACGAAAATTTTTGGGACATACTCCAGCATACCAAGGCACCTAGGGCTGGATAACACGAAAACAGTCCCACTAGACCTCAATCCTTTTGATACTGTAGGTATATGGGATGAGCAAATTTTCCCCTTTGAGGAAGTTTGAGCTGTATGGCTAAATCTGGATAACCTGTGGAAGTTTTTTGTCAGTTTGTCTATCAGACGCGGCCCCTTGCGAATGTAGGATACTTTCTAGGTATTCTAGCACCAATGCCCAGAGAATAGAAGGATTTATGTTTAGGGTCGCTGCCTGTTGATCGCCAGGGCACGTCTAGAGCCGGCGCTGGATGTGATAGCATGTGGGACGTCGGTAGCAAGGTGTTGAAGAGTCTGTAATACAATCAGTTAAAGCCCAACAAGAACAACAACCACAAGCGACCCAAACAACAACAAAAGCTCCACTCGCCAAAGGTGCTGAGCTGGAACATCAACCAGTGCTCACTGAAGCGGGACGACCGAGACAGCGCATGAAATGGACTGTGTCCATGAATGAAAATATTTTGCGCTTTTATTATACGGTGACAAACCTCGGTCAAGAAACGATCGGCTATCGACAAAATCTGTACGCCGAATTTTGCAGAGAGTACCCAGAAATCCAGAAACCCAGAAGTAGCTTTGGTCATGCTGATTAAAAAGTCTCATTGCTTAAACCCTCAGAAATAAATTTTATACGGCATCTGAATCTCAATAAACACGAATATGGTATCGGATTGACATTTCTTAATATTTCCCCGTCAGAAAAAGTTTCAGATCCTATACTCGTGTTTTATTAACCTATTGTATTATATTAAATGTTCTAAATATCCTATTATAGTATATTAAATGTGTGGGACGGTACGTTCCGAAATTTGTGACTTTGAAAAATGGACTAAAAATCGTCACTTTGAAGCTATATAACTCAAAAACAACTGGTTTCTGAGTCTAAGAACATTGAGAACTTTTGATCAGCATTACATGACCAAAGCTACATCTTTGCAAAGTTTCAGCCAATTAAATGGAAACCACATTACACAGATAAATAAGAAATACACCAGGAATACTCATACTTGCACTTGTAGGAACAACCAATGAGGCTAAGAGTCTTCTTGTGTCACATTTCAGGGAGATCGTTACAATTTTTTTTGTAACTTTGCGCTTATTTAAAATTTTATTAGTGGTACTTTCTGTTATTGTTCTGGTGTAATGTTATTGTATTAGATAGTTCTTGAGAATGTATTAAAGAAATGAAAAATACGCAAGATATTTGATTTTTTTTGTATAAAAACGGCACCTCACATGAAAAAAAGAAACATTTTTTGTTTCACAAATTATACGAAGAATTTCAAAATGATTTTTAATTTGATATAACTCAATGGCATACCATTTTTTGTTTTGAAAATATTGAGACTATTATCCGTATGTGCGTTAATAATGGATATAAAATTCTTTATTATATGGAAAAAAATGTGCAATAACTACCTCTTGACACGCATCAAATTTCGTTTGCATTCTTAACCGGTTTCAGAGCTATAAATAAAGCGTCAGTTTGTAAAAAAAATTTCAACGCCCCGTACCTCGGAAAACGAATAATTTGCGGGCATATGTTTATATAGCAAACTTTCTGAATTTTTCATGCAGAATTACTCTTCAAGTTTGTTATACCTATTTACTAACACACTCTATATTAGACAAATATGTATTATTCAAATGGAAAAACCTACGCTTTGAAGCTCTGTAACTCAGAAACAATGGATTTCTAAATCTTGGGCGAATAAGAACATTTGATCAGCATGATTAAACCTCCCTGCAAAGTTTCAACCAATTTAACCACTTTTACATAAGAAAAGTGCCGGAACCCTTTGTACTTTTAGCAACTATGTGCTAATGTTATGCTAGTACAAAAATTATCGGTATATATGGCATATCCAACATCTAATAAATTATTAGCTGAACGAAACACAACACTATCCGAAACTCGACATATTTCGGTCTTATCATTTCTAAATAAATTTGCTGATCATAAGTTAATCTCCATCCAAAAAGACTTTGTACACCTTTACCTTGAACTTATCTCTCTTATTTTTGATATTCTTTCCCCGGCACTACCACTTTTTGAAAATTAGAATAATGCATGTCTTAAAAGTTTTGGCACAAAATATTTATTTGATTTTTTTTAATGAAAAAATTTATTAAATACTAACTAGTTATAATAGTTCTGTCATAAGGTCCTGGACGGAATTCAGATCAATTTCTCTCAGTTTATCGTACATTCCCTCTTTATTGTTCTTCATATTGGCTTCCCAGCCTCCATGATAAACCTTCCTAGACAGTAAAGCCAAAAATCTTCTATTGGACGAGCCTGCGGCAAGTTTGGAGGATTATCGTTTTTACGAACAAAAGGTATGTGATGTTGTCATGTTGTCGAGGCCAGTTTTGGGTATCTCTTGAGTATTATGGTGTGATGCTAGATCTGACTAAAATCTGATATTGTTATTGGCCTGATGTTTGTAGACAAATTGAAGCAATTTGGAAAGGCAGTTATCAATATATCTCTGACTAATCAACGCTTTACCCCTCACTCTTCCCACAAAAGGTCCGGATACATCCCTGTTAGAAATTGCGCAACAGAAAACGATTTTATCTGCAACTTTCGCTTTACGTTTGTACCTAACATTGTCACGACATTCTTCTACGTTGTCCGTATAAAATCCTTTGTTTCCCTGCATTTCAGAATTACTCAAAGTGAAATACTTTTCGTCATCTGAAATAATAATTTTTTCATCATCAAAGTATACATTTATCAGTTGACGCCACCATCTCGGTATACCAAGGAGTTGAGCTTGAGAGTATTTGGGTCACTTACATCGCTTTATGTGTTTAAGACCATTTCTTCCCAATTCCAATGATATCGTACTCCTAGAAGGTCTGTATGGTCTCCTCGTTGACATTCCAATCTTATGTTTTGCGGTACTTATATGGTATTTCCTGCTCGCACTCCGCTATTGTTCTCTAAATGGTTCTACCTGAAATGTTTTCATTTTGGAATAGTCGACAGATTTCATCTTTGCGTACCTGCCCAATCCAATTGTAGAGACTTTTTCATTTTTAATTTATACGAAAGCCTAAAGCTAAAACTTAAAATAAATCAATCTCAACTGTCAGTAAAGAAGTAAAACTTGTGTTTCCAAAAAGTTAATATTAAAGTCAATAAATTTTTTGCCACAACTTTTAGGACATACGTTACCAGCTTTTCCAAAAGGGGTGATAGTTTATATAGTAGAAGTTCTTTGTCGCGTTTTTCATTGTAACTAAAGTGTAAATTGGCAAGTAATAATTTAAAACGATTACGCGACATAAGACACTTTACTTTGTTTTCGTATAATGGAATTTTTGTACCAGTAAGAACACAACTTTGGTAATCTTTGCAATCCCATCCACACTGGAATGGCGGTAAATGTCTTTATTTCTTCAGTATTTATATCCACCCATTTATGAGTTCCAGTTTTTGGACCGTGACCACCTATGATGTTATCAAACTTTTGATGTGTATATCGACTGGTTTCTTACACTCTATAATATCGTTATTCACACATAAATGAAAATACTCGAGGTGTGTTTACCATACATCTCAAAAAACTCTTTGAGATCTTTAATACCCGAGTTTTACACTGAATTTAATATTTTCAAGTTCTGGTCATCTACATTCCGCCATATCAACGGTGTGTTATGTCAACCTCAATGTCATCTTCATCGGAAGAACTTCCGTCGACAATATGTTTAATTTTAAACTTGATCATAGCTCTTTTTCTTTATTACATCCAATACTATCAATATATTTCCGTTGGTACATAAATAATTAATAAAAAGTAGAAAACTAACAAATAAACAAAGAAAATATTTGTTTCTTCCTAAAAGAATCAAAGTAGTTTAAGCTACATATATAAAAATAATGAGCTGTCACTGGGCACAACTTAACCAAAATAATATTTATGACATTAAGGAAAGCTCACAACTTGATTGGACATATGTATATTATGCTTACCCTTGCCTTTGTCAACTTCAGCTTCGACTTCTTTCTTCAATTGGTCCACTATGCCGTCCCATTGCGATTGCAATTCCATTAACCGTTCCATTTTCGGATCATTGAACTTTTCTTTGCCTTCTTTCAGTAAATTTTTGTGTTTGTTTAGTTCCTCTTTCATTGAGGACAAAGACAACTAGAAAGTAAAATTGTCTAATCATAAAACTAGTTAAATTATATAAAAAAGACATTTAAGCAGTCACTTAATTTAATTTAATACACTCTGTATAACTTTGCTTTAACCCGTTTTCTGCTAGCGTAACCGTATGGTCACACTAAATGGCCCCTTTTAAATATACAATATTTAACGCATACAGCGATATATGCAACTAGTAATACTACCACGCGGACTAGAGATATCTATGTAACGAATTACATACCCGGTACCTGATCAATTCGCTGGCAAAGTCGTGTTATAGTTGATGTTTGTTGGTGTTACAACGAGAAAGCATCAAAATGGACGTTCGCTTTGAGTAAGTAATATTTTTTAATCTTATTTTTGAAGAAAATAAAAATACTTTTAAACAAATAGGATCTAGAGACATGTGTTTAAGACATGTTTATATAATTTATCACAAAAGTATTATATCAAATGCGGTAGAGCTTCTAATATTTGTTTGTGACCATAACGTCACACAGGGATAATATGTGATAATAAATAGGTTTTTTCTTTTTAGACGTGGTTTTACATTACAAGAAGCATTGACCGTGTTATATGATGACGAAAATATAGAAAATGATGAAACATCGGTGTTTATTTGTCCTCCAGATGTTCATGAGGATACGGATGAAGATTCCGATGAAGATTCCATGAGGATACGGATGAAGATTCCGGGGACGAAGACGATGGTGGTTTAGTTGACAATTTGTATCATAGACAGTTATTAGCGCCAGCTGAAATTCGAAAAAATCGTAACAAGGAGAGGAAGACTCTGTGGATGAAATAAAGACAACAAAATCTGATGAACAGGTGAGCCAGATAAACGAGGGAAAAAATAAAAAATGTAGAATTTCTAAAAAAACTGAGATCAAGCAATGGATAGAGGGAGATTTGATACATAATAAAAAATTTAAAAACGAGAATAAATCTGAAAGTTATGAATTTTATGACATGAGTCCATTACAACTATTCGAACTATTTTTTGACAACGACATGTTTGAACATATTTTACAAGAAACAAAAAATATGCTACGTTCAAGAATTTTCCAGATCCAAATCTGTCCATTGATGAATTAAAATCGGTAATCGGAATTTTAATTTTATCCGGCTACCATCCCTTATCTGGCAGAACATATTATTGGGATCAACAGGATGACATGGCAGTACACATGGTGAAAAAATTCTATGCGCAGGAATAGATTTGATCAAATCATGAAATGTATTCATTTTGCCGATAACAGCAAAATTGGAAGGACTGATAAAATGTGGAAACTACGCCCCATTATAGAAAAGGTGCAAATGAAATGTCAAGTACTTTCAACCAACCCAGCACATGAATTAGGATGAATCAATGATCAAGTGTTTTGGGAAACATAGCTGTAAACAGTTTATCAAAGGTAAGCCAATACGCTTTGGCTATAAAGCTTGGTGTTTGAATTCTGAAGACAGTTATTTGATTCATTTTCAGTTATATCAAGGTAAACAGATTTCAACTGATAACAGTTATGTAGAAAAATTTGGAAGTGCAACAGCTCCTTTACTTCAAATGCTTGACGATCTACCAAATAAGATGCCAAATTACCATATTTATACCGATAATCTATAAGAGTTTCAATTTGCTTGCAGAATTAAAACTAAGGGGATATGACTGTGCTGGAACAATAAGACAAAATAGAGTTCCTAAGTGTTGCCCTTTGCCGGATAACAAAGTAATGGCTACTAAAACTAGAGGTTCTGTTGATTATGTTATATCTAAAAATGACGGATTTATATTGGTCAAGTGGATGGATAATGCTGTAGTTACGGCTGCATCAACTTGCTACGGTATCAATCCTCAAAGTTACGTCAAGAGATACTCTAAGAAACAGAAGAAAATTATTAAAGTACAAAGGCCTTTGATTATTGCAAAATATAATACATTCATGGGTGGCACGGATAGAATGGATGAAGATGTGGCACGATACAGAATTGGCATCAGAAGTAAAAGTGGTATTGGCCTCTTTTTACTTGGCTTGTTGACGTATGCCTACATAACGCGTGGGTGCTTTATAAGAAGTCCTCAAAGGAAAGAAAAAAAAAAACACCAAATATAGTTTTCCGCCGAGAAATTGCACAGATGTATATGTGGAAATATGGAGTACCGCCTAGACGTCCTGGTAAGCCTTCAGTCAGCAATAGTCTGTCCATGAATAGAGTGCCCGACAATCTACGATATGACAAAATTGACCATCTTGTTGTTCCAGTTCCTAACGGTAAAAGACGTAGGTGTGCAGGAGAAGGATGTTCTTCTGTGATACGTACACAATGTAAAAAATGTAATTTAGGACTTTGCATTGAGTGTTTTGAAATTTTTTCATACACAGTAGTAAATACATAATGTATATATAGGTAACTTCCCTGTGTGACCATATGGTCACAGCGTTTTTTTCTTATGTTTATAACAAAAAATTAATAAAACATATTTTTACGTTTATTTAGTTTCATTCCATTGTCATCTGCAGTTATATTTATGAAAAAATATATTTATTGATATTCTGGTAGAAAATGGGTTAAAGAAAAACACGACACAAGAGAAAATATAATGAAAAGTAATGTATTCTCTCTATGAAAAGTAAAGTATAAAAAGTCAGTGATACTTTTCAATGTAATTCATACATGTCTCTTGTATAGCTTTATTTACTTGTACTTTCTCAGTCATTTATTTTTTCCTGTTTAACAGCAAAAAGTAGTTTAAGTTACTCTTGATTAATTTTGATTCGTCACACCATAAGTAATATTCTCCAAAAATTCATTACCTTCTTGACATTTTATCGTTACAAATTCTATTCTTTCATTATATTCTGTTTTCTTTAAACTTTGAACTGCGGTGTAAGAGTAGGGAAAATTTTTTTGTTTATTTATTAATTTGACGAAGAACGTAATGATGCTTCGAAATAAGGAGCATAGTAATAGCATAGGATCATTATTATCAACAATAGGCTTCGCTGTATTAACTTTATTTTAAAAGAACCACAATGTTGTTAAATTTTTAAGTAACCTCTTCATAGTGTAACGGGTAGTTCGTGGTCGATCTGGATATATTTTAACAAATAAAGCACACGTTCTAGTAAGAACCCTAGTAAGTTATATTCTCCATGTATTAAAAGTAAATTTAATCATTCTTCATTGTTTAATTCTAAACGAACCAATTCTATCACTTTGCAAAAAAGTGCCAATAATCACAAATAATGATACCTAATTAAAACCTACATCATACACGGCCTGCTAGAATAAAAACAATAAATAACTTTACTTTAACATTAACCCAATATTATCTCCAAAAGTATTAACTTTAGGTATATGGAACCCTAATACTATTTAAAAGACAACTGATTAATTTTTTATTAAAATTATAGGGGATAGGAAAAAAAGGAGCCTCCACGAGATCAATAGTGCCACATCAACTGTAAAGTAAACACTATTGACGGCGTCCCCTGTAAACGTACGGCTAATCCTTCCAACACCGGATCAAACCAAATCAGATGGCAAATATCAAGTCACAACGGTTCTTCTCAGAGCCAACACTGACAGTAGCTAGCATAAATATCGAGGGCATCACTACAGCCAAACAATACATCTTATCAGAATTCTGCAAGAACACGAAATGTGAGGTATTGTGCATCCAGGAAACCCACAGAGACCTAACTGCAGCGAGACCGAAAGTATCTGGTATAAAACTGATTGCGGAGATACCACACAATAAGCATGGGAGCAGTATTTGTGAGAACTCAAACCATAGTCTCATCTGTGGGAACAACAAATGTATAATCCGACAAGCGAGAACTGGCGGGTGAGCTGAGCTAAAATAGAAAAGGAATTATTCTAAGAGAGATAGGGGAGGTACTTAATCGCGATTATAGGTATATAGTATAGGTACTTAAACGGTTATTACACGATGTAAACTCCTAGCCGACTGCAATAGAAACGAGCAATTGCTTCCACTTATCATTTGTTCTACACGCAACCCGCCAGCTCTCGCTTGTCGGGTTATACACGGTATAGAGTTAATAACCACTGACATCGGAAAATTCACAATAACCTCGGTATACAAGCCCCCAAACTAGCCTTTTATATTTTCACCCCCAACTAATTTTCAATCACAACCTAATCAGCTTGTACAGGGAGACTTTAACAGTCACAGTTTACTCTGGGGCTATGCAGATTCGGACGCAAATGGAGACGCAGTAGAAGTATGGGCCGAAACGAGTGGCCTCACGTTAATCCATGATTTCCACCACCTTTTCAGATTAAAGTTTGGAAGAGGGGATATAACCCGGATATCTGTTTTTCAAGTAACAACCTCGAAGACCGATATACCAAAGTAGTATATGGCCCCATACCAAAAACTCAGCATAGACCAATTGGTATAAATATCTTTTCAATAGTCAGACCACAAGCTATTCCATTCAGATTTAACTTCAAAAAGGCAAACTGGCAAAAGTATGCAGACATACTAGATTCTGAACTACTACGTCTTGAACCAAAAGTAGAGAACTACGAAAAATTTGTAGAGGTACTCAAAAATGTGTCTAGAAAAACTATACCTAGAGGATGTAGACAACAATATGTTCCCGGGATGTCCAGCGAGTGCAAAGAACTAATGAGAACATACGAAACCCCTTTATTCCACTGACCCTTTTAGCCAAGAAACGGTTGACTGCGGAGCAGTACTACTCCAACAGCTAAGTCAAGCCAGACAGGAAAAGTGGATTGAGACCCTGGAAAAAATGGACATGACAAATAGTAGCAAAATAGCATGGAACCTTGTAAAAAACTCAGCGGTGATCCAAAAGAACATAAACCACCTTGCAAGGTTACAGTAAACCAAGTAGCTGCTTAACTCCTTACGAATGGAAGAACTACTAACCGATATAAGGACTCAAACACTAGAAGATTGGATTCGGAGACAAACCATTTAGGAACTCCTCTTACACTAA